CGTAATTATAATCAATGACAATCTATTTTTTTGGTTAAAGGTGATTGAATTGTGTGCGCATGCATATTATTATATTTATGGGGAAGCTTAGAATGCATATGAAATATTGTGCAACGAAGAGAAAATAAGAGCTGCCAAGTGTTTTTGGCAAGGAGCACGTGAATTTATATAAATGTGGTACCAATGATTCATGGTTTTGGGATCATTGCAATTATTGAATTCACGCATATTTTAATAACAATAATAATTCTAAATGTGGTATATTCATTTGCTGCATCTATTTTTAATTTTTATTATTGCTGTTATTTTTAATTTACTTTTATAATTATAATTGGTTAATAATGAGAGAGTAGTGATTGAAAATTTGAAAGTACAATAATATAGGAAGGTTTTGGATTCATGGTCTTGCCCTTTTCTACTAAATCAGCATATTTTCTATTCATTCTGTAGCACATACTACTTATATTTCTACTTTCCACTTAAAAAATGTAGTGCTTTTTTTTAAATATTTTTACAAGCAATTATTCACTTTATTGTGTTAGGCTACTAATTTGAAAGAAACCGATATGATAGGTAATATGGTCAATGAAAACAAGTACTTTTCTCGAGCAAATAGATATGGAGACAGTGAACTGTAACTTTAACCTTAGAGTGGATCATTTATTAGTTGACTTGGGAGTTGAATGAAGAAAATGAATTTGGGATTGGAGATTTATCTATACATGTTGGGCTAGTGTATCTTGCTAGTACCACACAAATATAATATAAAAGAGAGACAAAAATACATAAAATGTGAAAAAAAAAAATTGCGGGCAATCACAACATAATAGACTAGGAACTTCTAAAAATAAACCCAAATAAAGTCACTCAAGACCAATAAACACAGAAAAAATGACGAAAAAGTGAAATAATTAATAAAACGGCATTCGCAAGTATTGAATTAAATTGCATCTGAAGTCGTAACTATTCATCTGGATTCAGAATATTCAGCAATTGGTAATGCAGAACATATATATATATCAAAGAGTTGGTATGCCCAACTACACAACACAAAAAGCATGAATTTTCACCCACACCCAAAGCCATAAATTAATATATTTAATTATTCAAACCTAGTCTTGACGGTCGGGCGCTAACGACTATTGATTGCAGTTTATTTTCAGTTTATTGTATGTTTATGAATCAAACACAATAATACATACTTTATTTTACGATTCATAACAGGGTTTGTGGATTGTTTATTTTTAGTGTATATTTGTTACACAAAATCTGCAATTTTTAGTATTTTGAGTAAACTTTTACTGCTTATGAGCTGGAAAAACGAGGTGTATTGTTGTTATCTGCTAGAGTATGGTTATTTATGTATTGTTTATCTTAAGGGTCCGTTTGGTAGGCTTGATATGGAGTGATATCAAACCATTTCATACTATTTCCTTCTTATTATTTTGTTTGGTACAATCATAAAAGCCCTTGAAAAAGGCACATGGCCCGACAGCTAATCAGCATTTTAATTATACCATATCCCACCTTCTTGGTGGGATGTGTAATCCATCAACATTTGATCTTTAAAATTCCAATAAATGCCCCTTATTTCTTTATCTCAATTGAAACTTTCCTCTGCTACATAACTCCAAGTTTGCCTGCAACTCTTCGATCCATTGCTGCTAATTTTTCCTCTGGTCTCCAGTTCTTGTGTCGCACCTTCAAGCACTTCTCGACATAATTCCTGATGAACTATGACCCGCCGTCGCTTGGCCACCATGTCTCAGCCACAACTTTGTCGAAGGGCGTTGACCAGAGACCAGAGATCGCCATGCCTCAGGATAATCCGCCACATCTCTCCTGTTATCAAACCATGGCTGAAATTGAAAGGAATTTAAAAAAAAAAAGCCGATCGGGATCTCGCAGAGGAACAAATCGATCTATGGAAACCTAGAAGGTAGGGAATGAAAACGCAGATGAAAAAATTGATTTAGGGAAGAAACTAGGGCTGAAGAAAGAAATCGCACGCGAAGAAATCGACTGGGATCTTTGCGGCTGATTGGCTTTAGTATAAGGGGAATTTATTTGTTTGGATGAATTGGGAAAAGAGATGGAATCAATCGACTTTAAGTAAGGATATTTTTTTTTTATGAACTAGAGGAAAGAGAAAAGATGAATGGCAACATTAGGAAATTCAACTTTAACTAAAGGGTAAAAAAGTAATCTTACTAAAAATACTATGTTTATCAATTATGAACCAAACAAGGTAATAGGTCTTTTTATCGAAAGGATATCACTTCAATTTATCTACAGGAATCAATCAAGCTCAATCACCCAAGAGTAACCAAACTCACCCTAAGTGTATGTTTGGTATACAGAATATGGGATTATTGGTGATTTTAAGTGAAACAATTACTACATCAACATGATATAATGAATGAGATTAAAAACGAGGTATATTGTTGTTATTTTTTTGGTGGTATATGGTTTTTTATGTATATTTTATTTGGATTATAGTGGACTTGGACAATTTTTTATACTTTTTTACATCCTAAAGAGCACTTATAAAGAGTTTTGCATATCAATGTTATATAAATCATTGCAATGAAAATAAGTAAAAAGATATACAAAATTCAAACATCGCAATTGTGTAAATAAAACGCAATATATACTAGAAATATTGTCTATAAACTCAACATATATTGTTCATTCCAAATTCCCTAAATATGTTCACTATTGTACTTCTCTTACTGATAAACTGAATTTTGATTGTAGTGGGATAGGACAATTTTTTATATTCTTTTACATCTTGAAGAGCATTTATAAAGAGTTCTGCATATCAATGTTGTATAGAACAAAATTCAAACATCAAAATTGCGTAAATAAAACCGCAACATATATTGAAAATATATTGTCGCTAAACTCAACATATACTGCTCATTCGAAATTCCCAAAGAAATATGTTCGCTACACTACTTCTCCTACTATTATAGCATTTGTTTTAACCTTGTACCTCCTTCACCGATGATACAACTGTCGGCGATGCCGTAGCCAGAACTGTCGGCTCCTATGACGTCACCCTCACCAACGACGCTCCCGTTCAGTCGCCGATCCTCCACATCGAGAACGAGTTCTCGATCAATCGCGCCCTCTACCAGAAATAATGTAGGAATTCTTCCGTCCGCCCTTTGGTCGAGCCACATATTTGATGTGCCGTCTCCGATGAACCACCGCTGCGAGGTCCGTGCGTCGTGCATCGCAACATCATGGGGCTGGTGTAGCCCGCAAATCCACGTTGTCCAATTAACGTTGTCCATGCGCCGTGCATCGCACCACCGTGAGCGAACTAATCCGCAGATCCGGCTGAAAAATCATTAGAGTCGGGGCTTGGATTTGGAAGTAATGAAAATAAAGTAGCGGTTGATCATTGATGGGGTAATGGTGGGGAGTTGAGTAGGGATGGCAGCGGTTCGGTTTCGGTTCGGATATCCGCGGTTTTTGGTTCTGCGGTTTTCGGTTTTGGTTCACAAATTTCACCCACGGTTTTATGGTTTCGAGTACCCGAAAGTCTTCGGTTTTGGTGCGGATCCTATATTTCGCCCGTGGTGCTCCGTTGGGTGCCCAAAATAAGCGGCCCATCAAAAAGCCCACCAAAAACCCTAGCTATATAAGTGGAAATTTCCTCTGCGCTTAGGCAGTACTTTTGGATAGTGTGTGGCTCAAGTGAAGATGAATGCCTCAAGTGTCTAGTGGTGTTTTTTTTTTAAATAATTCTGGACAGTATGTGTGTATGTGTGTGTGCCTGAAGGCCTTGAACTTCTATTTCTATGTTTCTGGAGTCTAGTGTGTGTGTATGTGTGTGTGCCTGAAGGCCTTGAACTTCTATTTCTATGTTTCTGGAGTCTGGACATGGGCTGGGCACATGGCTTGGCTTAGCTATGTACTGTACTACCTTTATGGCTTGTACTGTACGTTAGTACTTGCTAATTTGTGACTGGTTGCCTGGTGAAGGATTTTCACCCGAAACAGTTTTGGTTTTGGTTTTGGTTTTTAAGTTTGGGTTTTGGTTTTGGGTGCCCTGAGGTTCCATCCGATCCGAACCCGAACCCGAACCGCTGTCATCCTTA